ATCTGAAGCGAACTTTCAGAAGTATAAACCCCTCCCAAAATATTTTCCTAGGTGCGCCCCTGTACATATGTATGCATGTACCTATGTACGTGCGTACGTTTTCACTGTACATTAATTACTACATAGAAATGTAGTATTTGGAAAGATATTTACCAACTGTTTGATAATGAATTCAAACAATTTTGCCAGTTGAAAAGAATTGAACAGGTTGAATGAAGGCTAATTGAAAAAAATCATACATCGTCGCTTCAATTTATTATACATATTTGTTTTAATAATACGCAAAATATTCTTGTCTCTCGTTTTTTTATATTGTCCTTACTAAGTTTAGTTCCAATTGCGTATGAGTTTTTTGATATCGCTAAAAAAAAATGCTGATTTTGGCATTTTAGCTTTAAACCCGTCCCCTCTGGACGAACCAAAACCACGTTTTCCAAGTCCTTTATCATGCCCACCCCAGTGTATTGCATCTGCAGATAGACCGATCCTGTTTATATGCGATCGCAGACGATTTTAGCTGGATAGATAACCAGTGAGTAAACTGATGTCAGCTCTATTTTAAAGGTGGTTGATTTTCCTAGATATCTAACCAAAGAGTATTGCGTTTCTCGGGCCCTGTACTTTTATACAACAAATATTAAAATTCTCGTAGAAGACGGTTGATGATCATTTTTCAACTACACAGCTTCTGGACGACGTGCTTACTCTCAATACGAGAATTCCTGATAACCAACAGATGTCAGTGTATATCTCACTGCAAAAGATTCGAAGGAGCTTTGCCGGCCCTCATCTTGTAGGAGAGAGCTCAAGTGGCCTCTTAAATGTCTTAAAAAATAAATTTAAAGGTGTTCTTTAATGCGCCAGAAGCAAGTCAATATTTCTAAAACCCCGGTCTTGAGCCCCCTTAGCCATCTGCCCAAAACTCTAAAAATAAATAAATTAAAATAAACTAAAAAATAATATTATTAAATGACCGTCCTTTCGCGTCCATTACTCATTATTTTAATTTAAACACATTTTTTTTAAATGATGTGCACACTCTTCCCGAAATGTATGTATGTATTTAGAATGTGGAAGACAAATGCAGCACACTGTTTCCTCGCCTGCCGCGCCTCACTTTTCGACTGCCTATCTCATCACCCAGCCATCTCACCTCTCCAATGCTCACATTATTAGCCTATTTTTAAAGATGAAAATCACCACCGCCAGCAACGTCAGTGGCCGTGCTTTGTACACTCGCAATCGTAAAAGTTGAATTCCCGCTAGCCTATATATTTTTGCGCTGCTTAGCAAATGTATTTTTGAAGTCCAACCAAATTGGATACATACAAGAAAGAACAAATTTTCTGTATCAAATAAAAATGCTCAAACAGCTGTTGCGATTCGACGGGGCGACTACGCGAAAATATTCCTCCGAGCTATTTTGAATAATTTTGAACAAATTGCCATATAAGTAAAACGTGCATATTAGGAAATTAAGTGAAAATAATAATAGAAGTAAATGTGGATGTGCATATAAAAAAATTACTTGCATTTTGTAAAATAAAGTGTGTATCGAATTCTTGTAGATTTAAGTGAAATTTTACGAAGCAATATTCAGCGAAACTATAAAATATAATTAAAGCGATTTTAGTGTAAAACAAAAAAGTAATTAACTTAAAAGCAATTGTTGCAAGTATTGAAAAGCGATGTTCTAGAAATATCTGACATCTCGCACATACATCAGCTTTCAAACCCCAGTGACCTCGAACAGTTAAAGCGACGACACAATGCCCTTCGTTGCGCCGAAGAGCACACCCACCAGCACCACTGGTCGCGCCACCTTTCGCCCACCATGGGTAAAGGAGGATACGACCGCCAATGCCAAGCCCGCAGTGCCATGGGCGAAGAAGACAGCTGCCAGCACAGCCGAGAAAGATAAGCCGAAAGATAAGGAGAATGGCGAAAAACCTGCGTCCACTGCTGTGACAAAGAAGACAGCGGCACCAGCCAAGAAAACTACAGAGGAAACAGCGGCTGCCAAGAAAGTTGCCGAACCAGCTAAGAAGGCGGCAGTGGAGCCAGCGAAAAAGGTCGTCGCTCCAGCTAAGAAAGTGATTGAGCCCGCTAAAAGAGCACCAGAGCCTGCCAAGAAGGTAGTTGCACCGGTGAAGAAAACTCCAGAACCCGTAACCGCCAAGAAACCACCAACAACGAGTGTGTCCAAAACAGCTGCGGCGGTGAAGAAGAAGGAGCCAACTCCATCGTCATCCGAAGAGGAGGAGACGGAAGAAGAGGAGGAGGAGACTGAGGAGGAGGAAAGCGAGGAGGAGGAAGACGAGAGCGAAGAGGAGGAAAGCGAAGAAGAAGAAGAAGAAGCGGATGTGAAAGGTGAGGATCTTGAGGGGCTGTCTGACCTTGAATTTTCCGAAAACGAGTTTACACAACCCTCGCTGCGTTTGGGCGTAAAGCTCAAGAAAACCCCACAAGTTAAGAAAAAGGCGGATGACAGTGAGTTATCGAGACGTTTTTCAATAGAAAAACCAAAGCTACGACCAGTAATGGTCAAACGCGATAAGTCGATGAAAAAGGTAGAAGCTGAAAGTGGCGACGAAGACGACGAAAACGAAGAAGAACGCGAACGCCAATTACGATTTAAGTTAGAGAAACCGAAATTGCGGCATGTGAAACGCGAAGAGAAGCCCTTGCCAAGCAAGAGTACCGAGGACATTATGAAAATACGGCCGGTTTTGAAAAAGGTGCCCAAAGTCGATGAGATACTCAAAGAACCGAAAGAGGAGCCGAAGCCTGAATTCAAAACGAAACAGTTGCGCAAAGCGCCGTCAATCAAGCGTGATCCCAGCATCAAAAATGGTGAGTTTTCGTGCAGGCGGTGTGAAATGGGGGGCCTGAGACTCAAGCCCCGCATTGCAAAATTCGAATTTAAAATATTCTCAAATAATTAAATTGAAATTCAAATAATTTATAAATAAGCTAAACTAATCAACGAAAGATCAACAACATTTTTGAAAACGAAGAAGCAAAGATGGCAGTTTTGAATTTAATGTAGTGATGCACCTTAGATGAATATAGCGCGTAGAAATGGCACGAAGGCTTCTCCTTGAACGGCTCTCCTAACCCGGCTGTATTATATGAAAAACGCTTGATTAACCCTTTAACATGCAAGCGTGTGCGTTTCGTAAGTAAAAAACAACAAAAAAATAGAACCGGAAGCGTCTTGTCGCCTTTTTCCACGTCGTTTTGTCCCTCCGTTATTTATTTTTATATTTGTACTTTTCTTATTGGTCATCACTCATTTCATTTCGAATTCACACTTGTTCTAAAATGTTTTGAGCAGAGGAATTTCTATTAGAGAAAGTAGAAGTCGAAATCGAAATCGAGATCGAAATATAATAGAATAACTGCGCTGAGTACAGCCTACAACAATTGAGGTCAGAATATTAACACTTTCTACTTACACATACACTTTCATATATACATATGTACATATATGCACACAAATACTTTCTTTTTTTTGGGGAATAGCGAGTGCTTGTGCGATTTGAAGTGGTTTGAAATACAAAAAATTTCGTATGCTCTTAAAGCGCGTAAATCATTTGGAATTTTCACTTTTTTCAAGAGCCAGGCATTCTAATTCTTCACAGACAACTTGCCACCCACACTTCTAAGCATTTGCTTCGAAAATTCTGCTGTCGTTTTATTTTGTTTTTATTGCATATATGTATGTATATTTTTAACCATGCCAGTGGATATACGGAACGGACGTTTGTAGTTTAGCTTTTTAATTTTGGACACAAGTCTCCGCAAAAAGAATTCACAATTTTTGTATCAAAAGCAACAAAATGATAAGCGATTACGATGCAATCAATGTTTATGAGGTTCGTTAAATTCTATGAACTAAAGGAGATATTTTAAATTTTACGATTCATTTCATTTTAATCGGTTTCTGTGAAAATTGAAGAATTTAAAAAAATTATTAGCTACAAATGAATGTTTTCCTTTGTAAACATATTTATAAACATCATATATTTAAAACTTTAAGCAAACAAGGGTTAACCTTAACAATGATGGTTGCTTGAATATATAGAATATTTTTAAAGGAAACTAACAGGGCAACTCTGGCTAAGATAATAAAAAGTCTTTCGTAAGACAAATGAAAGACAAATGGCAAGATATGTAGTTCGAAAGACTTTTGTTATTCTAGTACCAAAGTCTTAGAAAAAAGCTCGCTCATTCACCACTCGTGGTGAAAAGCTATTTCGAGAGAAAGCACTTGTATATCATTTAGCTCGCGTCGTTCATACAGTCGCAATGGCCGAGTGAGAATAGCACAGGCATCCGAGTTCGAGTCTCGGCCATCGTTTTTTTTTCGTTTCTTTAATTCAATTTTTTTTCTTTTTTATTTACAATTTTTTTCTTTTTTCTTTTAATTAAGAAAAAATTTTATTTTAATTTCATTTAATTTTTAAAAATATTTTTTTTTCTATTATTGCCTTTTTCAATTTTTTTTATTGAAATTTTATTTATTTCTTTTGATTGTATTAAAAAGGAAAATAGGCAAATATTTTTTATACAACAAAAAACCTTATTGCTAAAACGCGAACAGCATAAGGCTAAGACCTCTTCTTTAGCAGATTTTTCAATTAGTCTTTCGAAAAACAGTTGCCAGAATTGCCCTTTCACGGCATTAGAAGCTTTATTCATCAAAATGCTTTGTAGATTTTTTGACAAAGTCCACCTGGATCGATTTTTATGCCCATCAGTTTAATAAAATTTTGTCGCATAAAATGCAAGGAAAGCAACACTCTTTTTTTGTTTTTGTTATACAAATGTCACCCTACTTAAGGCCATATTAAAGGCTAGTTTTCACTATGTCAAATTCAGTGGCATTTGTCGTCAAATAAGTGAAAACACATTGTCAAATAGGAACAAAAAGCGGTTTTTGATTGATTTGGATCAGGATAGGTCTGTAGTCGTGTAAATGCGCTGCGAAATCGGCTATCTGTCAGTTTTTGGCACATAATATCATCGGTAAAGCTATGGATAAAGCAGATAAAGTTGTGTCAAAATATGTCGCCAAATTTTGCAGTCAAAATATGACATAGTGAAAACCAGTCTTAAGTTACTCGTGTGTTCCTAAAATGTAAAAATGGAAAAATATAGGTTTTCAGGATGTTAATAGCTGTGAGCCACCTCTAAATTTTCCTCAATTCAACTGAAACTTTGTATTTCGTACTTTTTGTCCATTCGCATATTTCTATGTTGTATGCCCGAGAATTTGGATAGTTTTCCGAATAATATGCATACATACATACATGCAAATAAGATGTATGCGTAATTCAAATGTAGTGCAGTTATGTATGTAATTGAATTGTAAAATGCCATTATTTGTAAAGAATAAAGCAATTTCTGGAAACAGGCATCGATGGTGTGCAGCTAATACAAAAAAATGCTTCAAATAAGTGCATGAAAAGGTACAACCTGCTCAATATGTAGATCAAACAAAAAATCGAACTTGTTACTTCACCAGTTTTAATAAAAGCAGAAAAAAACGACCGCTATTTATTTATATGTAAGTATATAGGCATGTATGTATACTTTAAAACAAGTAAGGACAATGCTGTCTTCGGTTGTGCTGAAGAAGGCTTTATACCTTTCATGACCATCTGAGAATTTAACTTTAACCTATTACTGCATATTTAATGAGTTATTCGGGAGCTGCAATATTATTATGGACTTGATTTTCACTGTGAACTTTTTATATGTGATGATAAGGAAATAGGGGACGCGAATAATGGACTTCAACTAAGTACTTAGATGCACGAGTTAAGGAGGGAATATAAGAAAAACTCACATCTGTACAATCAGTGGTATGAGAGATGTACCTTATATGACACCGATTTTGACGATTTGCTCTGTAGAGATTGCATGATTAATTAGTAAATAGTTCTCGAAATTTCACTGTTTTAGCTGCATACATGGAGGAGTTATAAAGAAACCCCATATCTGAACAATCAGTTGTAGGAGAGGCGAAGACCGTAACGATTATGACCTTTTATAATAAAAATCATAATTTAACCGATAAAAATTCATTTATATTTTCCCGGACAAGTACAGCCGTTATTTGATAATCTCAATTTTTTTGATCGTTATTATAACGGTTATTTTTTATATGATAAAAGATTTAAACGGAGTCTCTGTTGTAACGGTTAAAAATTATGGAAAAAAATGCAAATAGCAAGATAACGATTAAATTTGCCTGAAAAAATATAGATTCTTTAACGATTATTCTTGATCGACAAAATCAAAAACTGCCTTTTGTGCCAGTCAATCTGGCACTTGCGGTGGAAATAATTCCCTAACGGATGAAACACATGCTTGGTAAATTATAATCGATGCTTGGAAATATAAAAAAAAACTAAATATCCCGTTTCTCAATTTGTTATGAAATATTTTTAATTATTTAAAAACTATTGGCAATTATCGAATCGCTGTTTATATCACTGATAATTTGCTTCTCGTTTATCGTATTTAGACGGAATCATTTGCTCAACCGCGTGGACACTTGGCGTATGAGCAACATTATTTCCTGTTCATATTTCAGACAAAAAAAAAACGAATCAATGAATTTGGCAATCGATAACTCGAAAGCGTTTAGAGCCACCATCACACGGGCTTTTTATTTCCGAATAAAAATCCGCCTGTAACTAGTGTTTGCTGAACGGCTACTATGAAAAGCATTTATACACAATTGTTAGAGAAGCTTGGTAAATGTTGTGATGGGTTTTGTGCAAATGTATATATGTACAGTTGTCCACAAAATAATAGGAGTGCGATATTTTGACCAGTTTTGGCTATTTGTCTTTTGTTTATTTAATGTTTATTATTTTTTTATAAAAGCCTAGCTGGCTATACAACAAACACCATATAAATTCAGATTTTAAACTTTGTATAAAAATTATAAAAATTTTGCAAATTTTCACCCAAATTTCANTATCAGAATTTAGGTCACTAATACAATTACCGACACGACTAACAGAACAGCTTACATACAATTTGCGTCTCGTTTATCGTATTTAGAAGGAATCATTTGCTTAAACGCGTGGACACTTGGCGTATGAGTAAAATTATTTCCTGTTCATATTTCAGACAAAAAAAAAAACGAATCATTGAATTTGGCAATCGATAACTCGAAAGTTTTTAGAGCCACCATCACACAGGCTTTTTATTTCCGAATTAAAATCAGCCTGTAACTAGTGTGTGCTGAACGACTCTACTATGAAAAGCATTTATACACAATTGTTAAGTTTAGTGCAAATGTATGTATGTATGCACAAAGGAAATGTTGCCAACATTTTATAACGCTCCACATATTTCCAACGGCTGGATGAAAATTATTGCTGGGAAAAAGTGGCGGCCTTTTTTCCCTTTCAGCTGCACGGTCATTTTCATTGCATTTCCTTTGAATTTACTTTTTGCGCCCATATCGTGAATGGCGAAAAAATAAAGTGGAATTAGCGATTGGCAGACTGATGGAAACGATTGAATGGTGGAACAATGAATCCAACGAAATGCTGCACTGTTCGATTGAATCAAAGTTTTTGCCCTTAACTTTAGCTTTTCATACTAAATTTGTTTACCAAACATTGTCGAATTATCTTATTGTCACAAAAAAAAAAGTACAGTAAATATGGGTAAATGCTGCATTCGTGAATCGGTAATCACAACCGGGCGACGATTGACGGCCTTCGTTCATTGCCACAGCCACACTTATCCACCAGCAGATCCACCCTTTCGAAATGAGAAAACACAAACAGCACACTCACATAAACGCGTATTCAAAAAGGCCGAAA